TCTCTCTCTCTCTCTTTCTTTCTTTTCTACGTGCCTGTTTTTCTTTCTTTAAATTATTCGTACACTTCTACCAATTTGTCTGTCTCTCTCACTCTATATTTTTCTTACTCATGAGCATTCAGCGCGTTGTCTCCCTCTCTCTTGCCAACTAACCCCAGCCCCTCTCCCAGTCATAGAACGTCCAAATATTCTGCTAAAACCCCATAAATATTGCCAATTCTCATATCCATTTGTTTCAAATATAATATTGTACACGTACTAATAAAGAAGTAGCAAACAAATTGGATCATTGTTAAAATCACTCGTTTAAAACAGAAAAGATTACGAGCATCTCCATATGCTCGGGACTGGCTTTTAATTTTCAGGATCACAGTCAGACAATTTTCCTGCAATGGCGTCGTTTTGTGTATTATATCATTTAGTTTACACACAATATCAATCTAATAACTATTGTAAACCAACATTCCCGAGACCGCAACAATAAATTGGCCTCTTATCATAATCAAGTAGGGCTTTAGGAGGAAGGCCATTCTCTCGTTTTCACAGAGAATTAAAATATTTTTTGTTGGAAGGGTATAATCAGGAAAAAGGTCATCACAGACATGCTAGGAACAACACCAGTCCTACAATAAATAAGACAGCAGAGGATAAAGTGGGTTGACTGCCTCACAAGCGTGCCTCTCGAACAGCCAGCGCTTCGAGATTATAACACATTGACACGATTTTCGGGCTTGATAAAAAGAGGACGACCAAGGCCACTCCGAAGCAACCTTGTTGCAAACACCCCCAGAACTCATAACGTGTCTCGCATAAAAAATACTTGCCAGGCTACATGCAGACAACATTGTAACTCCATGCTTTTTACGTTAGATGTTGTTGTTGTTGCTGCTGTTGTTTTTGTTTTCAAATCCCTTTAGCAGCGAGCATTTCGCTCTTTGCAGCACAATGCCTCCCTCAAGTAACCACATGTCCTTGATTTTACGTTAGATCAAAACGCCACTCACCTCCGCCGTGCATCTGAGTGAGGTAGGGAAATCTCCAGACGTTGCCGAGACCCACAGCGTAAGAGATGACCATGAAGAAGTACTGTAGCTTTGAGTCCCAGGCTACCCGGGTTCGTTCCTCGATACCAGCGTCCAAAGACGACACGGGCTGACCCCCAACCTCCACATCACCATTGGATGCATTTCCTCCGTTGTTGAGAGGTGTCGTTGCAGGTACATCATCGGCGTTCATTGTGGTGGTTTTAGAATCACTGTCAATTTTGTTGTTCTTTTCACAGACGTTTGAGCGTCAAACAAAACTTTAATTTCAGAAACGAATCTTTATGAAAGATAAACCAGGAAAGATATGTTACGTATGTCCGCGGCACACTTTGGCAAGACACATGGAAAATGCCACGTTGATGGGGTTGGTAATTCGTACACTACCACACATCAGTCTGACACTGCGAGTTGAACTCAGGTTGATGAAACATGCGCCTGTAGAAAATTAGCACACCTGAAAAAAAAGACAGCGGATGTGGTAATTGTTGTAACCTCCCCAAAAATGAATCTTAGTTAGATCTAAACGTTAGCTGTATAAAATCCAGAAACTGAAATTATTTATGAGTAAAGTGGGAATAGTAACAATGAAAAGGGTAAGACAAGAGGATTTACAGCGGTAAATATCTTCTTTCTAATCTAATGAGGACAGTTAGGACTAAACTTCCACACCCACTATGTTGCAATGGCCAGAATTTATTAGGACAAAACATGTTGCAATGAATAAAACATTTGCAACTTTTATGATCGTCGACGTTTCACTTGGGAAAAAGAAGTGAAAGTCTTAAATATTATCAGCTGAACGAGAAACAGCTAAAGTGTAGTTAGACCATTTTATATCCTTCTTAGGATTGGATAGCCGCATGAAGAAGTATCAACATTAACTATCGATCTAGTTTTTACGTAAAAATGCATTACTACATATTCAATTTTTCTGTTCTGACACATCATAAATATAGTGAACATTGAACTTCAGGGACTAATAATTGAAAGAATATCAGCTAAAATAAACCTTGACCTCCATAACTACAGTCACAAACCATCCCGTACACAACACTACAATGAGCAACTTTTCTGGTGCAAGCAAAAGCACATACATTGCGAACAATCAAACATTCTATGAAGAATTAGAGGATTCAAGAATGGAGAACTTCCTCGGAAAATAATACATTATATTATGTATTGTTTTCAATGGAGGACGGAATTCCGCCCTCACTTTACCCACAACGAAATTATGTCGCCTACCTTGAGAGATATTTGCTTGCAAACCAGATTGACTGACCTAGAAACAAGCAAACAACTGATAATGAGAGGAGATCGAATCTGATAAGGCTTTGCAGACTACTAAACCTACTCTAAAAACAGTTAAAACTATGAGTACGGCACTTTGACCTATCACCAACACGAACCATTGACCGTATATTAGTGACATCGAGGCTCTACTCTAAACTTTTGATACTGTTTGTTGTTGCTAAAGGTCACGTGAATGCCACGGATCGTCCAAAAATGACGTTCGACCGCCCAGGGATAGAAATATACCTAAACTCTCACAACACCAGACTCTGTAGACCACCGCAATCGGACTTCTATCGTCTCAAATGTGGAAGATGTTGTAGATCCTAAACAGGCTCTGTGGCTCATAAACTTTCCTCTCTGGCTTAAACCACAATCACATTCGATATCGATGGGCAGCCAATGAAGAAGATGTGTAGGGAAAAAAGCAAAAAAACACAAAAGGTAAACAAAAATAATAAAAAAAGAAAATTCTCGGTCTGGGTTTGGTCTTTAGTTATGTTGGTGTTGTATCATTGTGATAACACATTGCTGTGCTTCAAGACCAAATTTCATCAACAGAATTTGATATTTGTTCTGAGACCACGTAGGCCTAGATACTTCCTTCTCCTTCAACAGCAAAATCCGGATAAGACAACGGCGGTCATGGTTCGCCACTCGTTTCTTTGCTCGAATGCTAAATTAAGAAAAAAGTAACAAAACATGAACAAACTCATACCGATGATACCGGCATTTTGACTCGTTACCCATCTGTTCTAGTTCTCACAGTAAGTTATCCTTTGGCTAACTGTGCCACTTTTCCATTGAGAGCTAGCTTTCTGTAGATTAGTTTCCTCAAGTTTACTAGAGATATTTACATTTAACTTGATATACTTTTTTCCCCTCTTACGACCTACCATTTGGATACTTTAATCATTCCCCATTAGGCCATGAACGTTACCTTCTTAGTATCATGCTAGGCTACACCCGAAGAGGTCGTTTAGTGCACATTAGAAGTCAATTGGGAAAAAATAAAGCGGAAATAGTTGGATCTACCAAATAGCTGGTGCTTTGAACGAACACATAAATATTAAAAAGGAGTAAGAACAAAAGTCGGAATGAGAGAGAGAGAGAGAGAGAGA